ATATATATATATATATATATATATATATATCTTGGAGCTCATTACAAAAAGCGTTAACTCGTTCATTTTTAATAACTACACAGATTTCCAATAATATAGAGGTGCCGTGCAAGGATTAAGGATTGACAAAACTGAAGTCATCATTTCTTCTACCAAAACCTGCCCCTTCTCTTTAATGTCCTCCATCCTTCTATATACTCGGTTTTTCAAGCCTGAAATATACAAATTGCCCTGGATTTGCTCCATCCCTCCAGTCTTATTGCTCCTGCCTCTTTAATATTTCTTGGATCATATCTTTCACTCTATCCCTGCTGCTACCACCCTATTTTCAAGCCCTTTCCACTTTGCACATTAAAAAAAAAAAAACCCACAACACTGTCCTAATGAATTTCTCTGTTTCTACTCTCCCCTCAAAAATCCTTCCTACAAACTGTAGTTAAAGTGATCTTCCAGAAGTACAAAGGTAATTATGACATTTCTCTGTTTAAAATCTTTAAATGTTTCCAATAATCACTATAAGATTTAAGTTCAAGCTCTTTAGAGAGGCCACAAGGGCATATCCATGACATGTTCTACATTTACCATTTGCCACCAAGCCCTCAATCCTAAAATCATTCCATACCACTTGGAGACTTCTCCAAAGCACACTCTTCTATTTGTGCATGAGTCTGTGTCTGGGATGCCCAATTATTCCCTTTGCTCAGCCTATTTATAGTCCAAGATTCAGTCTAAACACCTCCCAGTATGTCAGATGCTCCCCCTAGATGATTTAAAGCCAGTCTGCACATCCCAGAAAAAATAGCATCTGTTTGTTTTTCTGTCTCTCCCACTGAAATGAGAGCTCCTTGACAATTATTCCTCTATATACTCATAGGATAGCACAAGGCCTCTGTACATGGGTATCAATTATTTGTTGAATAAATATATAAATACTCAGAGTGATAATTTTAATGGATGTAGAGTTACTTTGGGAATATAATCAAGAAGGAGACATGATTCATTTGCTCAATAAACAATTATTATTGAGAAGATTATGTGCCAGGTACTGGAAACAGAGTGACAAATAAAATAGAAAATGTTCTTGGGCTGAGGATGTAGCTTAGCGGTAGAGTGCTTGTAGAAGGTGGGGGAGGTGTTAATTTAGACTGAGTGCTCAGGAAAAGGCTCGCCAGAACAGGTGAGCTGATATCTACATAGCAAACAGAATGAATCCTGTCCAGACCTAAAGTCAAAGCAATCCAGGGCAAAGACAAAATGCAAAGACAGTGCATTTGGCACATTTGTGGCACAGAAAGAAGGCCCATGGAGATGAAGGGTGCTAAATTGGCATGAGAGTCAGAGATGAATATGGTGAGATAATGAGGCATCAAATCATAATGAGATAAGGATCATTGAAGGATTTTAAACAGAAAAATAACCTGACTTAAAATTTTAAAAGATGTTTCTCTGTGGAATAATAAATAAGAGTGGGAGCAAGGTCAGCAGTTAAAAAATTTGCCTTCATCCAGACAAGAGATAATGGTGGTTTCACCTTATGTGGCAGTGGTAAAGATCAAAATAAACAGATTTGTGATATATTCTGGACATTACCAGAGCAATATTTTTGAAAACAAAATCTGGTAGCCATGTGGAGAACTAACTGAAGATAATGGTGAAAACAGCAGCAGAAAAACCAGTTAGAAGATGGTTGTAATAAATTAATGGAAAATAACCAAATAAGAGGGCTGCTTATGAGAATAAGTTTAAAACTCTAAAGATATTTCCCTCCAGAAAGATGAAGACTCTTTAATCTTTGAAACAATCCTGTGAGATGTCAACCTATTTTATAAAAGGAAGGAAATTAAAGCAGAAATAAATATTTTGCCCATCATTATACACTAGTAGGCCAAGACCTGAACTCTATTGACTATACTATTTTCATATATCATGCTAGCTCTTTCCTTAAGGGGAAGAGGCTGGGTGTCAAGTCAGAGATAAAGGGAAAGCTCTGGAGGGCTATCCAAGGGAGAAGTTAGATTATAATCCATACAGACCATAGTCCTGTATCATGGTGAGGATGGGGATTAGTTTCTGGGGCAGGCCTGATTTAATGACTCTGTGGGACTGGTTCTTAGGGACCCCATGTGGGAGAAGTGTGAAGAGGAGGAGGAAACAAATCCAGGATTACAGCCCCCTCAGTTCTCTAGATGCCACTTCAAGTCACAAAATGACAGTGTTATTCACATCCTTGTAGAGGTGACCACAGCCAAGGGTGCTGTTTACAGCTACCTGGGTTCTCCTTTTTGGATCCACCAAGTTGGTAAGAACTTTCTTCCTCATTCCAACCACACAGCCTCCCCTCCCCAAATCCGACCCTATGTCCAGGATTCCCAATTCTGGCACTTCTGCTCCATGACCCTGTTAGCATGATGTCTCACACACAGAAGGGCTTAAACTAGTCCTGCTAAAATCCCTGTAGTGCTCATCCCCACTCCAAACCTGCTTTGGAAGGAGATCTCCAGTGGGCAGCTGGAATTGGAATGGCAGCACCCATCACCTTGGGCAGCCCAAGAGACCTGCTATCAGCTGCGATACACGGGAGAAGACCATCAGGATTGGAAGGTATGGTCAAGTGACAAATGCCTGCAGAGCTTGATACTGTGTGTTCCTAGGGTTTATTATGTTTCTTATCAGAAGGACTGTGTTGAGTTCAAACTCAATGTATTCAAAACTGAATTCATCTTTCTTCCTGAATGTATTTTGTTTTTACCAAGGTATATTTTATATGAGGTATACAAACTTTAAATGTACAGTTAATCTTCTTTGGGTATACACCCATGCAACTATTATCAAGATCAAGACATAAATTATTTCCAGCACCCCAGAATCTCCTTATGCCCTCTACAGTCACCTTCCCATCAAAAGTAATCACTATTCTGATGCAACCATGGATTCCTTCAACTATAAATTTGTAAAATAAAACCATCCAGAATTTCTTCTTTAAGCTCTCTTCTGTCCGACACTGGCACTCTTTCTTTCCCCTTACCCCTTCTTCTCCTTACTTATCAACAAGTTGAATAATGTACAAACACTCCTCAGCCTCCTACTACGACTGCTTTTGCCTTCTCTTTATCCATCCATCCTTCCCACTTGTGCTTTCAGCATACTGAACTGTGATCCCCAACCTAGCAGCACAGGCAGCACTCACGTTTCTTTGTGCTCTCATGGTACCCCCTACTAATTAATTGTTGTGATTATTTACTTGTTTGGAAGTCTCCATCATTAGATATGTGAGAGACGGTTCTATTTATTTATCTTTTTCTACAGTGCCTAGTGCAATGTTTGGCATTTCTCAAGCAATTCATAACGGTTTGCTAAGTGATTAAGTCTTACTGTTCGTGCACATGATACTTGTACCCTCCAGCACCTATGGCAAATCTGGCATCCTTTGCAGCATGAGTGGTACTCGTCCATGGTCCGTGTGGCTGAGTATCTGAGTGTAGGTCTGAGCGGCTATGCCCGACCAGGAATAGTAATAAAAGAACCCGGAAGGGTCTTCATATCTCGGGGTCAATATGAATATGAGATCTCTGCGCAGATGTTGGAGCCACCTCTCGGGGCCCGGGGAGGGACCTTGGAGCTGCGCCCGAGATCTCGTTACCACTTACAGCTGCGCGCCAGGCTCAACGGCCCCACCTACCAAGGTCCCTGGAGCGCCTGGTCAGACCCAGCGAGAGTAGAGACCGCCTCGGAGACCGGTGAGCCCGGGTCGGGCGTGGCCAAAGCCTTTCTACGGCTGCGCGAGGGGCGGGGCGCTGGTCACAGGGCGGGGTCCTGAGCGCACCGGTCTGAGGCTGCGTGGATGTGCTGTGCGTTCGGTACCCAGGGGTGACCTGGGGTGACCAAGGGTGGCTTGAGGGGCGGAGACGCGGCAGGATCTGGTGCGCCAGCCGGGCGGGCCAAGAGTCGGCCGAGATCTGACGGGTTTTGTCCCTAGCCTGGATCTCCTTGGTGACCGCTCTGCTCCTGTTGCTGGGCGTCAGCGCCCTCCTGGGCCTGCTACTGCTGAGGTGGCAGTTTCCTGCGCGCTACAGGTACCACCTCCTCCAGGGGCAGAGGTTTCTAAACCAGCATCTTGGGGTCACTCCATGACACTTGCTCTCGGACCACCGCACGCCTACACCTATGGCTTCAGCCGCTTCCGGCAGTGACAGTCTCTTAACTTGCCCACTCTACCGTTGTCCTCCAACAGCCCTACCTCCTGGCTACTGCCCACCTTTGGCGCAAGCTCAGGCACTTATGCTTCTCCCTCCCCACCCCCACCCCATCCAGTGGCCATCAGGTCTGGTCATTCCACCTCCTAAAACCTAGCTCAAACAATGGCTCCCTTTTTGTAGCCCGACAGACACAATCTGACTCACTGAAACGGAGCCTGTTCTTTTCAATCTAGCTTTACACAGCCATCAGAATAATCTTTTTAAAACGCACACATGAGCCTATCTTTCCCCACCTGAAATCTTTTCAGTACCTCCCCAGGAGAGAATCCAGAATTTGTAGAATGACAGGCAAGGCTCTGCAAAATATGTTTCCTGCCAGCACGTCCACCATCTTCTACCCTGCGCATTAGCCTTGCCGAAGTGTTGATTTCCTCCACAAGTCAGGCTGTCTTACTTGTCAGTGTCTTTGCACATCATGTCCCTTCTGCCTGGAATATCCTTCCTAGCTGGCTAATAACCATTCATCTTTAAATAGCTTTCTCCACCAGCTCTTAAGAAACCTCCCTGACCCTCCCTTATTGGCTGCTCTTTTGTGCCCCAATATGGTACCAATAGCATTTTACAGCATTTATTTATTTTTCTGTTTTTGAGTACTGGAGATTGAACCTAGAACCTTGCTAAGCACATGCTCTGCTACTGAGCTATACCCCCAGCCCTGTATTTATTTCTTTGTATGCCTATATTAGACCTTACTTGGTCATTTTTAAGTTCTTAGCACTATGCCTGCCAAGTAGCAGGCTCTTAAATAAATGTTAGTAATGAGTGACTCACATATGTGGAGGCTGAGGAGAAATGTCACTGGAAATTATAAACACGAAGGATAGAATCCATTCCACCTCAACCCTTCAACTGGTAATATCAGCTCGTTCTTATAGTCTTAGCTCAGAAGTCAGGTGCTCCAGGCAATGTGTTGGAGGCTTCCATCTTTAAACATGTCACTCTCTGAACTTTTTTTATGTTTTTTGTTTGTTTGTTTTATTGGTACTGGGGATTGAGTCCAAGGCTTTGCACATCCTTGGCAAGTGCTCTCCTACTGAACTACACCCCAGTCCCTTCTCTGAACTTTCAACCTGCCTATGTGTATGAACAGACTGGAATGTAGCCTCTATGAAGGTAGAAGGTAATGACAAAAACATTTGCAGAGAAGAGGGAGAGGGAGCTTCTGAACTAGGCATTCTCAGTTCTTTTTCCCCAACCACTCCTAAGGAAATGGGAGTGAAGTAGTGGAAGAGGCCAGAAATGCCCAGCTAAAGTCTTTCCACATGAAAATGTGAGGCTAAAGAAACTGAAGGATAGGGCTGGGGCTGTAGCTAAATGTTTAAAGTTTTTGCTTAAGGAGGATTGTAAGTTTGAAACTAGCTTTGGCAAATTAGTTAGGCCCTATGCAACTTATCAAGGCCCTATCTCAAAATTAAAAAATAAAATAAAATAAAAAGGGCCGAGATGTGGCTCAGTGGTAAAGAACCCCTGAGTTCAGTCTCTAGAACCAAAAATAAATGAAGGAAGGAAGGAAGAATGGAGAGATTTGCCTCTTGTGTGAGGCCCTGGGTTTGACTCCCAGCACCAAAACAAAACAAAAATTGGAGGTCCCAACACAGCTTAACCCATACTCTTCCCACATAGACCACTCTCCTTAGGAATTTAGTAATAAGCTCCACTGGTTCTAATAATTTCTTGAGCACCTATTATCGGCCAGACACTGGAGATTTAGGAGTGAAAAAATAAACTTTTTCTCTCAAAGAGCTTGTGCTATAGTGGGGTAAGACAGCTAAAAACAAATGAATGTAACAATATAATAAATATTCAATAAGTGCTATAAAGGAAAATATAGCAGGAAATAGAGTGATGGGGAAAAGAGATGTTACAATTTTAAGGTAGTCAGGGATGATGTCTCTGTTAAGATTTAGGACAGACTTAAATGAAGTGAGGGAATAAATTGTGTCCAGGCAGGAAGAAGGGCAAATGCCCTGAGATAGGAATGTTTGAGAAAGCTCTGTGCTACACTTTATACACCAGCTTCCCTCTCCCACCTGAGGTTTTTCTTCCCACCTCTACTCCTCTCCCTTACTTTATAGCCTTAGCTATGCTCCTGTCTCTCTGAGGCTTAGCCCTCAGCCTCACTGCCTCCCCAACTGCCCCACTTCAGTGCTTTCCTTATCCCTCCCAATTCACTCCCAAGATTCATTCTCCTTTTCTTCCTTGTTCTCTAGGAGACTGAGGCATGCCCTGTGGCCCTCACTTCCAGACCTTCACCGGGTCCTAGGCCAGTACCTTAGGGACAGTGCGGCCCTGAGTCCGGTGAGTGCACTCTTCTTCCTTCCCTACCCCTTTCCCCATCGCCAACGATCCTTGACCCCACAGTGTAACTTGTTCAAGGTCCTTGCCTAGCAGCATACCCACCCCCAGGAACTAACCCCAGCCCAATGCTCCTTTCCACACAATCCAATCCCACCCCCACCCACCCACCCAACACACCATCTGCTCTAATCCACTCCTTTCATATCTCTCCAGCCCAAAGCCACAGTCACAGATACCTATGAAGAAGTGGAACCCAGCCTCCTTGAAATCTTACCTAAGTCTTCAGAGAGGATTCCCTTGCCCCTGTGTCCCTCCCAAGCCCAGATGGACTACCGAGGATTGCAGCCTTCTTGCCTGGGAACCATGCCCCTCTCTGCATGTCCACCCATGGCTGAGTCAGGGTCCTGCTGCACTACCCACATTGCCAACCATTCCTACCTACCACTAAGCTGTTGGCAGCAGCCTTGCAGGCTGGCTCCTCACTCCCAGTACTCTGGACAGATCTAGACCTCTCTGTGAACCACTCTACCCTATTCTACCCTCCAACACCAACACCTCAGATCTCACTTTCATTCCCCCTTTGCCTGCCCACCTAGCTCAACCTCATAGAACTGATCTTTCATGCTTCTGCTGCCAGATCTGGGCCCCTTTCTCCACAGCCAGCCTAATTTCTCTTGACTTTTACCCTATGTCCCCTTGAACACCAAATTCCAACTCTCATTGACTCCAGAATACTTCTATTAGTTCCCCTTCTACCACTTTGCTAATGAAACTGCTCAGGCAAAGTTCAGTTCAAATCTTCTAGTTATAAAGGCCCATAGGATCTTGTTAATCATCAATTTATTTGATCTCTCTGTGGCATTTGTTATAGTTGACTAATTTCTCCTTTAAATTCTTTCCTACCTTGGCTTCCACACGGGCACCTCTTTGGATTCTGCTCCTGCCTAAGTATACTGTTAGAGATAAACTGTGGAGCCAGACATAGGTTCAGTTTCTGTCTTTCATACTTGCTAGCTGTGCAACCTAAGGCAAAAAACTGAATTGCTTTGATCCTTAGTTTTTGCATCAATAAAACAGATAACAACAGCGCCACTGGTGTCATGAAAAGAATTAGTGAGACAACTTAGGTAAAACAAAAGTGCCTAGGATATAGTAAATGCTTAATATATCTGAACTACTGTTATAATTATTCCTTCTTCACTTATTCCAGAATTTCTTTGATTCTTTAACTATTGTAGTCCTTCAAGATTCCATTACTTGTTTTTCTTCTGGCAGTACTGGGGATGGAATCCAGAATCTTGCTAGGCACGCTTTTGGCCACTGATCTACATCCCCAGCTCCAAGACTCCGTTCTTAATCTCCAGCCTGTGTGTTCTCATGGACTTTACTATATGTTGACAATTCCAAAGTTCTTAGATCCAACCCAGACTTCTTTAGTATTGTTATACTTTATGCAAGTAACTGTTTACATGTCTGCCTCCTGCTACTATATTGTGAGTTCTTTGCAGAGGGCAAGAACCATGATTTATTTGTCTTTTTCCTCTAGCACCTAGAATATTACGTGGTGCATGATGCTAGGCCTTTAATAAATGTTTTATAAATGAATAAAATCTTTCTGGACAATGTTACCTTAACCTCATACTAACTTCCTTCGTGTTCTAAGCCATTCATGAGCAGCAATAAATATGCTTAAACAACTCAGGTTATAGATTCCCCTAACCCATTCTAATTCTCAAACAAATGATTTTTGTTTGTTTGCTAGCTCCAAATATACCCCCTATTTTAAATCAGGGTCTTGGAAGGAACCAATGGTACACTCAAACTGGGTAATTTGTTGAGAGTTTAATAAAGGACAAAAGATGAGGGCAAGATTTGGGAAAACCATCAAAGAACAATGCAGTATCCCCAAGGCTAACAAAAATCAGGAAGCTGGCATCAATCCTAAACATCAGGAGTAAGGAGAGGGAGTGGTTACCAGACCTGGAGAGAGGGCTGCCTGACAGGTGTTGTGGCCTTTGGTAGTAGGGTCATGCAGTCAATCTCTGGGGATGTGGCCAGGAGGAAGCCAGGGGAATAAACAGCTCAAGCTCATGCTCCCCCCACCTTGAGTCCTTAGGAGTAGAGTCAGAACTTTTAACATGGCTTGGGGTGGGGGTGAATTATGGGAATGGATATGCTGTATGTCTTCCATTTGCCCTATCCAGATCCACTCTATCTTTTTCCACCCTGCCCTATTCTCTGTAAGGCTGATTCATATGGCCTGAAGCAGTGGGTTTCCTTGGCCTTTGTTTTTTTTTTTTTTTTGTTTCCATTAATGGGATATTATGGGTTTAATTGTGTCCCCTTCCCAAATTCTTATGTTGAAGTCTTAACCCAAGTACCTCAAATATGACCTTATTTGGAAATAGGGTTATTGCATAAAAAATTAGTTAAGATGAGGTCCTAGGCCCTAATCCAATATGAATGGTACTCTTATACAAAGGGAAATTTGGACATAGATCAATCAACACAGGAAGAAAGCCAAGTGGAGATGAAGGCAGAGATCAGGGGAATACTTGTATAAGTATTGCCAGGAAACCCCAGAAGCTAGGGGAGAGGAATAGAACAGATTCTTCCTCACAGCCTCAGAAAGAACTAAACCTACTGACATTTTGACCTGTTACTTCTAGTCCCCAGAACTGTGAGACAGATTTTTCTCATTTAAGCGTCCCAGTTTATAATTTGTTATAGTAGTCCTAGAAAACTTACAGAGATCAGGGGCTGGGGATGTGGCTCAAGCGGTAGCGCGCTCGCCTGGCATGCGTGCGGCCCGGGTTCGATCCTCAACACCACATACCAACAAAGATGTTGTGTCCGCCAAGAACTAAAAAATAAATATTAAAAATTCTCTCTCTCTCCTCTCTCATTCTTTCTTTAAAAAAAAAAAACTTACAGAGATCAGAGGCTGGGCTACAGAAGTAGCCCATGATTGCAGGCTCCATACCACATTCTCCCTATCCCATTCTTTCTGCAACCCTTTTTGTTTATTTTGATACTGGGGATTAAACCCAGGAGTGCTTTACCACTGAGCTTCATCTCCAGTTTTTATTTTATTTTTTAAATTTATTTTATTTTATTATTTTAGTTGTAGGTGGACACAATGCCTTTATTTTTATGTGATGCTGAGGATCAAACCCAGTGCCTCATCTGCTTTAAGTGAGCACTCTACCACTGAGCCACAACCCCAACCCCGGTTTTTATTTATTTATTTATTTACTTTGAAACAGGGTCTTACTTAGTTGCTGAAGCAGGCCTTAAACTTGCAATCTTCTTGCCTCCATTTTCTGAGTCACTGGGATTAGCAGTGTGCACTACCATGCCTGGCTGCAACTCTTTTTTAAAATTTTTATTTTTTTGGTACCAGGGGCACTCAACCACTGAGCCACATCTCCAGCCCTATTTTGTATTTTATTTAGAGACAAGGTCTCACTAAGTTCCTTAGTGCCTCACTTTTGCTGAGGCTGGCTTTGAACTCATAATCCTCCTGCCTCAGCCTTCCAAGCCACTGGAATTACAGGCATGGGCCACCGAACCCTGCACAACCCCTTTTAAATAGGTCTCCAGCACCACTTTTCTGATCATGTCCTCTCCAAAGTCACCAGTGGTTTATTTCTCCATGGTCAGAGTTGACCTCTACTGTCATCATTCAGTTTGACCACTTTCTATCACATTTCAGGCCCTCCCACTGTGAGATCCATGTCCATATAATCTCTTTCATGCCTTTACTTTGAAATGTACAGATTCTCTGAGGTTGTATTCTCATCCTTCTTCTCTAATTATCCTGAGTCCAGAAGTTGTAATTTTTGGCCAGTTTTCCACCTCAGATATGTTTTGTTTGGTCCTTCTCTACACAGAAAGCCCCAATGGCTTCACAGTACCTGATAGATAATATCCAAACTCCTTAGCTTAACACTTAAGCCTGACACTAGACTGCCTTTTCTAAGTTTTTTTTGGGTTCAGGAACTCCCCACTTATAACCCTAAGACATTAACCCTCTTGTTTTCCAAGTGAATTGGAAACAGAAAAAATGAATTCTTCAAAGTTGAAGATAACAATATTAAGTTTGGACTAACAGCCATAGTTTTTTCTCTGTCATCATCAGGGTTGATCTCTGGCTAATGATTGAAAACCTGACTTGTCAGCCGTTCCTAAACAGTATAACATATTGTTAGGATTGCAGAAGTTACTTCAATAATTTGAATCCTGGCTCCACTACTTAATACTGGTTGTGTGCCTTTGCTCAAGTTTCTAACCTCATTCTGACCCAGTTTCTTTTTCTGTGAAATGCAAATATTTGCCTTGTGGGTTCGAGGATTTAACTAAAAAATGAATGTAACTATTTTAACATAGTAGTTAGCAGACAGTCAATAAATGGTGCCCATTAATTCTATTACTGCTGCTTCACTTCTGAGTGACAGCGTGAATTATAATGACATAATTCATTCAAGTCATCATTAGAGCATTAAATTGAACTGAACTTGGATTCATACCAACTTCTTTGAATAACCTTGGGCAAATTCCTTCCCTGGGCCTTGTTTTCCTTATCTATAAAATATGAATGTGTTGCCCATAAGAAGGGTGCACAAGCACAGGTGAGATAGGATCTCTATTGTTCTTGACACCTCTAAAGCCCCAGAGAGTAAGCAACAGTGTCTCCCATAGGGCAGTCTAAACTTATTTTCCATTCACTTCTCTTTCAGCGTCATTTTCCTTGTCTGTAATACGAGAAGCAAAATAAAACACACGTGTTCCTCCTAGCAGGGTTCCTGGCTAGCGGGTAGCACCCTAACTAGCTCCGGTCTTCTTCCTGTCCCCACCCCTGCTTGTCGGCCACCCGCAGGCTCGCCTTTCCCTTCTCTGAAGGGCTCAAGTGCTTCGGGTCATTTCACCGAGTCCTGCGAGTAGGTACCATAAACATGATCCACTGGTAGGCGTTACGTGAGCACTTCCTCGGGATCTCTGACCCTCAAGCGAACGAGGCCGATCCCCGCAGCGGGGAACCCAGAAGAATGAATGGAAGCGACTCGGGAACGCGGAAGCAACGCAGGCCCCGCCCTACGCGCGCCGCGCCTGCCCCTACCACTTTCAGACTCCTTCTCCCAGGGACACCGGCTTCAGACCTCTCTCCCACCCTCCATTCAAATCACGCTCCTTTACTGCACTCTCGTGAGACCTGTCTTGTACCGGAAGACCCGCCCTCTATGCCATAGAGGCCAATGGGCGAGAACAACAGTTGCGACGGTTGGGTTTTGAAGGAGCCAATGAGCGCTCAGAGCGGAGAGTTTAAGAGGTACTGCTCAGTAGTGCAGAAGCCGGTCCGGGATTGGAACCTGCTCCGGAACGCACGGTGAGGGGCTGCTAGGCCGAACCGAGGGACTCGCCGGGGGGTGGGGAAGCTGCTAGGCCGGGAGGGGCTGCAGCCGAGGGCGGCCTGGTAGTGAAGCCGGCCGGGAACGAAGGAGCCTCAAGCCTTCCCTGAGCCTGGTCGCCTCTTCTTCCAGGGCTCACAGTGGGCACCGACTCTCAGGACCCCTTTCCCTTCCGGGCGCTCCCATGGCGCAGTTCGTGTTCGAGAGCGACCTGCACTCCCTGCTTCAGCTGGACGCACCCATCCCCAATGCACCCCTCGCGCGCTGGCAGCGCAAAGCCAAAGAAGCAGCGGGGCCGGCCCCCTCGCCCATGCGGGCAGCCAACCGATCCCACAGCGCTGGCAGGACCCCAGGCCGAACTCCTGGTTAGTGGCATGCGATGGGACACTAGGAAGGAGAGGGGATGGCCCAGAGAAGGCTTCGTGTTCCCTCCAGGAACCTGGTCAGACTGTATGGCTTTTCTTTCCCGGCCCCAGGCAAATCTAATTCCAAGGTTCAGACCACCCCTAGCAAACCTGGCGGTGACCGCTATATCCCCCATCGCAGTGCTTCCCAGATGGAGGTGGCTAGCTTCCTCCTGAGCAAGGAGAACCAGCCTGAAAACAGCCAGACGCCCACAAAAAAGGTATGTTTCTCAGAGAGGAGCAAGGCATGGGATCTGACTGTGGCCTCTGGATCCCACCCTGCCTCACCATCACTCTTATATGCTAGGAGCATCAGAAAGCCTGGGCTTTGAACCTGAACGGTTTTGATGTGGAAGAAGCCAAGATCCTCCGACTCAGTGGAAAACCACAAAATGCCCCAGAAGGTAAGACCTGAAGTTCTTGGTTCTTGGAGGTTGGTGTCAGTCCACTCTCAGGGACTGAGGGAGATGCTGTTTGCTCTTCTCACCTAAGGCTGAGGGCAAGGGAGGTGTCAGTTTTCCCATGGTCTAGACCCACTCCGTTGCCACAGGCTACCAGAACAGACTGAAAGTACTCTATAGCCAGAAGGCCACTCCTGGCTCCAGCCGGAAGACCTGCCGTTACATTCCTTCCCTGCCAGATCGGATCCTGGATGCTCCTGAAATTCGAAATGACTATTGTAAGTGCAGTTTTATTGTTGTCCATCAATGGAGAAAAAAGGACTTGGGGACCAGGCAAACAAGGAATTTCATGCTCTTCCCTTTCTGCCTGTGCTAGACCTAAACCTTGTGGATTGGAGCTCTGGAAATGTATTGGCTGTGGCACTGGACAACAGTGTATATTTGTGGAGTGCAAGTTCTGGTGACATCCTGCAGTTGTTGCAAATGGAGCAGCCTGGAGACTATGTATCCTCTGTGGCCTGGATTAAAGAGGGCAACTACCTGGCTGTAGGCACCAGCAATGCAGAGGTGCAGGTGAGACTGGTACCTACACTGTAGTTCTATTGACATCAGACCCCAGGGACTTGTCTAGCTAGAGGATATTTATTGCCAAACCTCAATTTCTGATCTTAGTGGTGTTCTCTCTCTAGCTATGGGATGTACAACAGCAGAAACGACTTCGAAACATGACTAGTCACTCTGCCCGAGTGAGCTCCCTAAGTTGGAATAGCTATATCCTGTCCAGGTCAGTGGTTTTTGCTAAACTGGCAAAATCAGTCTGATTTCTGCCTCCCCATGCCTCTGACTGAATAAAGCAGCTCTTGCTTGCATTTGGGGCTGCCATAGAACCTGAATTTCTTAATTATTCCCACAGTGGCTCACGCTCTGGCCACATCCACCACCATGATGTTCGGGTAGCAGACCACCATGTGGCCACACTGAGTGGCCACAGCCAGGAAGTGTGTGGACTGCGTTGGGCCCCAGATGGACGACATTTGGCTAGTGGTGGCAATGACAACTTGGTCAACGTGTGGCCTAGTGCTCCAGGAGAGAGTGGCTGGGTTCCCCTGCAAACATTTACCCAGCATCAAGGTGCTGTTAAGGTGAGATAGGGGCTGGGCTAGGTCTCTACAATTCCAGAGCTATAACCTGGGTAATATTAAGGGGAGATGGGATGTTGAGATTGGATTGTGTTCATCTTATAACCTTGATAGCCTCTTGTTTATCTCTAGTACCCACTGACCTTGCCTTTATCCCACCTAGGCTGTAGCATGGTGTCCCTGGCAGTCCAATATCCTAGCAACAGGAGGGGGCACCAGTGACCGACACATTCGCATCTGGAATGTCTGCTCTGGAGCCTGTCTGAGTGCTGTAGATGCCCATTCCCAGGTAGTCTTTTACGTATTCCAGCCTATCCTGAAGTATTATTACTCTGTGTGGTCCACCTAGGCAACCATGTCTACTCCAGTGTCTTCACCAACTCTATACCTTAGTGATTTCCAAACTTCTGACTTAGTACTTTATTCATTAGCTCCATAAGTCAGATAACAGTCTGACTTATCTCTGGCTGTTATGTCCTCTAGGCACTCCCACCTCCTTAATGTCCCATCTCCCTGAAATGTGTTCTTCCTCCTCTTCCTCTTATTGCTTCACAATGACAGAACGTGCTCAGAAGTCTGAGAGGTATACTAGAATTTTTTATCCTCACCAGAATCACCAAAATCTTATCAGTTTTACCTTAGAATATCATTCACATCTGGCCTCTCCACTTCGCCTCATCCTTCCCAGGAAAGGCACAATAAGGTTTCCTCACTGATCTAAAAACTTTTTTTTTTTAACCATACAAGGGATTGAATCCAAAAGAGCTTTACCAGTGAACTAGGTGCCCAACCCTTTTTTATAATTTTATTTTTTAGTCGTCAGTGGATCTTTTATTTATTTATATGTGGTGCTGAGGGCACCACACATACCAGGCAAGTGACTCTACCACTGAGCCACAACTCCAGCCCTGCCCAGTTCTTTTCTATTTTGAGACAGGGTCCCACTGAGTAGTGGAGGCTGACCTTGAATTTGTGATCTTCCTGCCTCAGCTTCCTGAATAGCTGAAATTCAGCTGTGTACCACCATGCCTACCTCTAAACATTCTTCATCTCCTCCAATCTGTCCTTTTGCGCTCTGATCTGAGTGGTCTCTACTATCCTCCTTAAACCTATACTGGCTTCCCATCACCTACAGCATACAATCCAAATCCATTAGGATATTTGAGGTCTTGAGGGTAGGCCTCCTTGCAGCCACTCTGGCTTCCTCTCCTTTCATTCCCCCAACATGTAGCCTTTACTCTAGAAATGGACTCTAGAGCCAGATGGCTTAAGTTCAGATTCTGGCTCTGTCACCTAACAACTTGTATGCAATTTATCAAACTTCTTTCTGATTATCTATAAAATGGAAAATTATCTCTAAAAGGATTTTTTAAGGACTGTGACCATTCAAGTGAGTTTGTAGTACCTAGCAGGGTGCCTTATGTTAGAATGGACTCAGTTCTGATTTGAGTATCCTTAGCTGTATTTCATACCTACACCAGCTTCTCTCCTCAGGTGTGCTCTATCCTCTGGTCTCCCCACTATAAGGAGCTTATCTCAGGCCATGGCTTTGCCCAGAATCAGCTGGTTATTTGGAAATACCCAACCATGGCCAAAGTGGCTGAGCTCAAAGGTAGGTGGCAAAATGAAATAAGGCAGAGACAAAAAGCCACATATTGTATGACTCCATGTATATGAAATATCCAGATCAGGTAAATGCAGAGACAAAACAGATTATTGGGGCCTAGGGGAGAAGGTAATGGGAATGATGAAAATATTTTGAGATTAGTTACAATGGTTGCACAACTTTGAATACACTGAAAACCACTGAATTGTATATCTTAATTAATCTTATGGTGTACTACACATTTCAAGGGGGCTGTCAAAATTAGAGGACTATGTATATGTCAGTGTTCACATAAATTACTCTTAATTTGCCCTAGGTCACACAGCACGGGTCCTGAGTCTGACCATGAGCCCAGATGGGGCCACAGTGGCATCAGCAGCAGCAGATGAGACCCTGCGGCTGTGGCGCTGCTTTGAGTTGGACCCTGCACGACGACGGGAACGGGAGAAGGCCAGTGCAGCTAAAAGCAGCCTCATCCATCAAGGCATCCGTTAATGACAGACCAACCCATCACCTCAGTTTTTTTTATTTTTCTAATAAAGTCATGTCTTCCTTTCTTTTCCTTGTAAGACCTAGGTCCCAGTAGCCTTCCCAGGGGCTCCTCTCTCCTGTGAGAAACCTCCTGTTTGTAGTTCCACTCACACATGTACACACAAAGCCTTGGTGGTTTCCTCTGTCACTTTAATTAAGACACAAGTGAGTAAGTAGCCTCCACAGGCTACATTCCCAGCATCCCCCCCCACATACCCTGACCTTTGGCCCAGAAGCTCCTGCTTCAGTGTGGGGTGGAGGGAGGGAGCCTGGGTCCATAGTGACAGATTATTGCTGACCTCTTCAGTGTGAGGAAAAAGGCCACAAGACCCTGGTGGGGGCCAGCCCTGAGTGTTCCTCTCCCAAGTTTAAAGCAGAGAGGGGGAAGTAAATGTCCAGCCCTTTCAGCCCCCAACTCTGAAATGCCAGAGGGCAATGAGGCCACATCCCTGGAGCTGTCCGACAGAAGTGTGAGGAATGGAAGCAGTGGCCCTTGTAGACCAGCTGTGGGCAGGGGGCAGGGCCAGTCCCCTGTTCAGTCCTGACCTCCTGAGCCCTGGTCACAGGTGTAGGTGGGGAGGACACTGAAGGATGCTGCCCAAGGTGCAGTCCTGAGGCACTTAGGTGGGCATCTATCTAGGCCACACTTCTCAGTTAGCCTTGACCTTGGCAATACTGGGAACTCCATTTTGCTGAGGTGCACGGGGCAGGCGCTTGCCTTTGGTATAAGAGTGATACCAGAAATTGGAGAACAGAATGAAGAAGATGGTGCCATACATCCAGATGAGGTGGATAATGACTGGGTACTGGTAGTTGCAGCTGGGCAAGAAGTAGTACTGGGAGATGTGCAGCGAGACCAGGACAAACTGGATCTAGGACAAGGACAGAGAAAGGCATGGGTTAAGTAAGGACTGGAGGGATAGGGTCAAAGGTGAGATAGGTTACACAAAAAGGATCTAGACTAGGAATGTTGAGATGGTTATAGGCCAGCAGACCCCTTACCAGCTGAATGGCTGTCATGTGTTTTTTCCACCAAAGGTAAGGTTGAGCCACAGGGCCAAGGGCAGATAATCCGTAGTATAGGTACATGACAACATGCACAGAGGAGTTTACCATGGCATGGAAAGACCCCATTCCACCTGTGGGAGAGAGTAAAACGGTTAGGAGAGTTGAGCCTCTGGTTCCCAGTGCTCACTCCTCCAATGGTCTTGAATACTTACCTGGGGCAATCTTTACCCCCCACCACCAGCTCCAGGGAAGCACTGAGTGATGAAAAACATGCAAGAAGGTCACCTGCCCATCTTTCTTCCGGAGAATAAAGATCACCTGAAAAAGAGTTCAGGGAGGTGTTCAGAGCCAGGGGCTTTTCTTCCTCACCTCCCCAGTTCATACATCTCATAACAACTTACAGTGTCTATTAGCTCAATGAACTTGGAGAATAAGAAGAGCCAGGCCACTCGAACCATCTGCAAAAAGTCAATCAAGGCAGTGTTGGGATCCCCCCACCCCCGACTGTTTCAAGAGCCTCTCTAGACTAGGCCATGGGCTCAAGTCATTGATTAAGACCTAATCCCAGCCCCTATTTACTTACCCTAATAGCCTCAGGGCTGTTGGAATAATCCACAGGATCACAGCGCCAGGTGTAGGTACTCAGCCAGCCAGACATCAGGAACTATGAAGAGTGTGAATCAGACCACCAGAGTTCCCTCTCCCAGCAATCCCTCCCATCTCTAGCTGAAGAAATGAATCTGAATCTCTGGAAAGGAGAGATGCTCTGCTCCTCTGGCCCACCCCTTATCCTGCTGGCAGGAATTAAAGCCTAGACATCCAGGCCCACCTCATAAACAATGTAGAGGGAGAGTGCCACCAATGAGAAGTTGTAGGCAATCATGAAACCTCGGAGTTGAAAGGGCTTCCGGTTGGCCATGATGCGAGGTCCAAGTGAGAGGACAAAGTACACGTATGTCAAGAGGATGGAGGTCATTAGCAGAGGGGACTCCATCAGAGGGTAACCCTGGACCCGGGGATCTGTAAATGAATGTCAAGGAGTCAGGAAGGGTCACAGGTTCAAAGGAACCTCACCAGATCTATACCTTTCAGGTCAGGTCACAAAGGGTCAAGGGATTCATAGGGACTCTCCATTAAGACAAAGCCCTAAATCCCAGGATCCCTGAAAAGAAGGGAGGGAAGGGCTGCTGGATAGCATCTCACCTGCACACTTCATCATCTCGTGGTACAAGTTCACAATAGCCTCCATCCTGGATAGGGACTGTAGGGAGGGATGGAGGATGGACGTCAGACAGGTACACATCCTGTCTGTATCCCCAGCCCACACCTGACCCACGAAGATAAGACACAGAACCAGACAACAGGCTAAAGACACAGAACAATTCTGATGCCTCTTTGAGAAAAGGACAGAATCACAGTAAAAGGAATTGTTGGGGTCTGAGGGAAGAGGAGGCAGTTTGGTGAGGGCATCTGCTCCCACACATCCTGCCTGCCTGGGGGAGAGCTATTCCACTGGTCCTCTCCTCTGCAGACTTTACTCTCCTCTCGGTGCCTTTTCAGACAGTTTTACTTCCTGGCCTCCCCTCCTCTCAATTCCAGGTCCCTTTCTAGAGCCCTCCCTTCTCACCAACAGAGAGTTCAACGCCAGTGAACCAGTGAACCAGTGAACCTCTTCACCCTTCTTTGTCAAAGTCTCTCACTTCCCCAGCTATAAGAGGAAATTCTTCTCTTCAGGGATTCTCCCTTTCAATCTATCCTCCCCTCCAGTCCAGTCCCTTCTGGATCTCTCATCTCCCCAGGGTCCCTCCTCTCCCCTGCCAAGATTCTCACCTCCCCAGTCCCTTCCAGAACCTTACTGGTCTGTGGTTCTTCCTCTTCCCTAGGTCTCCCCTCTGCCTTCCAGGGCTCTCACCTCCAGCCTCTCTTCTCCTCCCCTCTCCTTGTAGGCTTGCTGGGCTCTCTTCTCTTGCAAAGCCCTTCCTCTCTGGCAGCCTGGCTCTTGTGAGACTCCTGCCCCAGCGGCTCCACCTGTCTGACTAGATCTGGCAGGAGCCCCGCCCTCTGCCCGCCCCCGCTGTATTGGGCATGGGATGGAGGGTGGGTCCAGGCCACAGGTCAGTGCCTAGGGGAGCAGGAACCACCAGGATTGGGAAAGTCAAGTAAAGCCCCAAACTCACCACCCACCACTCTGGACCAGCTAGATAAGCTAAGGTCCTAGGTTCTCCAGAAACTTCTCCTGGCCCCGGTCCCAGCCTTGGCCCAAAGATTGCTAAAAATCCACACCCAGCATCCTCTCCCAAACCAGCCATGAATTCTCAGTTTGTCCTACTTCAGAATGGGTACAAGAACCTTTCCTTTCCAGGGAGGGGCAAGGAAGCCAGTGGCATGTGAGGAGGTGGGGAGTGGAGGAGGTCTCAGGAATCTTCCCCTCCCTCTGGGAGGGATCCCAATGGGCTAGGCCCCCTCCCCCTCAAAGGCCAAAGGAATGTCGGGGGAGGGCTCATAGGGACACAAAAACCTCTGCCTAGACCCAGGAGAGTCTGGGACTCTATAAGACTGTCCCAGAGGGACCAGGCAATCTCTCAAAAGCCAGGGCAGCAGGTGCTCCCAGTTTCCTCCATCCAGAGGACAACTTGTACAGTGCTCCATGAAGACATACACATTCTGATATCCAACAGAGGCTGTGTGAGCCCCTCTCACACACAAATCTCACAGGAATTCCCCAAGCCTGCAGGTCATCCCACCCTTCTGCACACCCACCATGGTCAGTCTCCAAGCCCTGCCTTCTACATACACACTCTTACAACATGCGCCCAGCTCTAAGGACTAGCACACATCCACAGGACCTACACACCTCCTACTGGCCACAAATGCCCTGCCTCACACACCACCCCAACAGGCCTCCGTGGACTATGACATGCACTCTCACGCCTGCTCCAGACTGCACTGGTACTGGCACTCACATACCACCCTGCACAGCCCCAGGGCACTGTGTGCAAAAGCATATGCTCAGTGGCTCAGGCTCAGGCCCACGCGCTGAAGTTACTCACACATGGCTGAGCTACTAGGAGGTGAGAGAACATCTGACCACTCACACCATATGCAGACATGCACCTCCCTAATACACGGATATGTTTTGGCGGGCGACACTCCTCATTTCTTCATGCACAGTGACTCTGTTGGTGGCCTATGCTGTGGCAGGGCCTAAGCCTTAGGCGTGTGCTCTCACACAGCTCCTCTCTGGCACATGCGAGCTCCTTATCTCCCTCAACCACCAGCCTCAAGTTCACCCCCACGCACTCGAACAGGCACCCTGGAGGTCAGGAGGGACTCCAGGCCTCTGGGAAGGACCTCTCCACAAGCTTGAGGAAAATCTGGGTGTGTCCCTCACAGGGGAGCTTAGCCGGTTCCTTCCTTCCTTCCCTTAAGATGGATGGAAGGGAAAAGGATATGGCAAAGGAAGGGGAAGGGGAAAGGAAGAGAGGAGGGGAGGGAGAGGGCCAAGACCAAAAGGTGGTGGAGAAAGGCCTAGGTGTGAGCAAACGGGGGGCCAGGGCGGAGGGGGGCAGGGAGGGAGGGAGCTGGCGAAGCCCGGCCCCAGGAGCTGGGACCTCCCACCCACTCGCCCCAGGAACAGCCTCGCCCATACCCTGGGCAGGGCAGGGCAGGGCAGGGCAAGGCTAGCCGGGCCTGCCAGGCAGGGGGCGCCGGCACGTGGGGAGCTGTGGAAGGTCCAGACTCACCAGTGGGGGCCAGGCGGACAGCGGTGGAGGACTCAGGGGGTGGGGGGAGCAGGGCCAGAGAGCAGTCCCCAGGGCTATCCTGCCTGCCACTTCCTCATCTGCTGGGCCGACTTTCTGTCACCAGAGGGGGAGGGGGCGGACCGGGCGGGGGGCGCCTGCTGATTGGGCGACCAGCCCAGGCAGGAGGGGCCGTCCAGCGCCGGCTGGGCCGCAGGGGCGGGGGCAGGGGCGGGCCGCCAGATCCCGGGGCAGGAAGCACACCCAGCCCGGCTCCCC